GCTCGCCTCGCGGCGGGCGCCCTCGTCGCCAGCGGCGCACCATGGACGGGCTGCCCGGTCGGGCGCTGGGGGCCGCCTGCCTTTTGCTGCTGGCGGCCGGCTGGCTGGGGCCCGAGGCCTGGGGCTCGCCCACGCCCCCACCGTCGCCCGCCGCACCGCCGCCACCCCCGCCACCCGGAGCCCCAGGCGGCTCGCAGGACACCTGCACGTCGTGCGGCAGCTTCCGGCGGCCGGAGGAGCTGGGCCGGGTGGACGGCGACTTCCTGGAGGCGGTGAAACGGCACATCTTGAACCGCCTGCAGATGCGGGGCCGGCCCAACATCACACACGCCGTGCCCAAGGCCGCCATGGTCACGGCCCTGCGCAAGCTGCACGCGGGCAAGGTGCGCGAGGACGGCCGGGTAGAGATCCCGCACCTCGACGGCCACGCCAGCCCGGGCGCTGACGGCCAGGAGCGCGTCTCCGAGATCATCAGCTTCGCTGAGACAGGTGGGTCGGTCCCTCGGGCGGCCAGCAGTGGCCCTCGCTCTGTCCTCCACCCCCTTCTTGCCCGCTCTGGCCGCCACCGCCACAGCAGCCAGCGCGCCCTGGGGAAACCCGGACTTCTCGACCCGCCGGCTCGCCTCTGGCCCTTTGCGCTCCGCCCTAGTTGCCGTCCTCTTCCCACAAGCAGCAACCCCTTCTTGCTCCCCCTACCCCCGCCGCGGTGCGCTTTGCCCTCCACCCTGCTCTCCGGAATCGGGCCCCAGTGCCTCTGGGAGCGCGTCCCCCTCCCGGCAGATGCGTGCGGCCCTGGCTCCGCGGGCACTTGCTTGGTGATTGCCTAATGTTTTTGTTTCCCACGATCGGAGTGTAGGCTTAGCAATGTGGATGGAGATGTGTGTGCTTGTTGATATCCGTGGGCCGGAGGAGTGTGTGTATGTGTGTGTGTGTCTGTGTGTGTGTGTGTGTGCGCGCGCGCCTCCGTGAGAGGCCCCTGGGGCCGCTTCCATAGCCGGGCGGCGTGGGCTTGCCAGGATTGCTGAAGCCTCACTGGGGAGAGCTAGGCAACCTCTCTTCCGATTGTGTGGGCACCGGAATCGGGCGGAAGGCAGGCTTCTCAACAGGTCCCATCATTTACGCAGAGAAAGACGCGGCTCGGGGGCAACCCCGTGCCCCTGGGCTCGCCTGGCAGCGACAGCAGCCCCCTCGCCTTAGAGCCGTAGAGTTCTTAGTTAACAAAGGGTCGGAGTTCTTTCTGGAATTTTCTCCCGATTCTGGATTGCAAATTTCTACCACTGTCTAAATATAAAAATCAAGAGAGAGAGAAAAAAATCTTTCAAACTTTAAAAGAAGAAGAAAAATGTGCTCTCGCTGAAATGTTGCAAGTGCTTTCGACTCCGCTGTCCTTTTCAGGACTTGAATGAGCCAGGCTGGCTTTTGTGCCTGGAGCTCAGCCCCATTTGTGCCGAAGGGACTGCGGAGAAGGTCGCAGGGGGAAGCCCTGGTGCAGGCAGGGCGGGGTGGGCAGGGAGCCTGGTGGGGGTGTGCGTGCTAGCGGTGGCGGTTGTGTCCCCAGGCTCCAAATGTGCACCCTCCTTCACAAGGCTGCAGGCAGACTGTGCTGGTGCCGCTTGGGGATGAAAAGGGATGAAAAGTTTTGCATGGCCGGGTGTGGAGAAAAGCAGAGACAATCAGGGGCTGGTTTGTGCTTAGAAAGAAATGCATTGCTGTTTTAGCTGTCCGACAGAGTCAGGGAAAGCTCGCCATGCAATTAGAGGGCTTGGATTAAAAGGTGCTTTGGGGCCCAGAGTAGAAATATGATTCTGGAAGGTCGAGGAGGCCTTTTGGTCCCGGTGGCACAAAATGACAGCGGGGGCTGTTATATTTCTGGTCCGTTTCACGGAGCCAGCTCTTTGACTTATAAATAACAGATTCAGGTCACAGGCAGCTCGTCCAAGACCAGCTTTTAAGGCTGCACTTTCCCCCATTTCAAAGTCAGATGTCAGTGTTATTAGAGGAGCCAGGCGAGGCCTGGGGAGGGGGCTGGGGGGTGCATTGGTAGGAGGTTTGATAAAACCAGCCGAGGCTACACAGTTGCCTTATTTGTTCTTCCTGGAAGAAAGAAAGAAAAAAGTAGGGGTTGTCAGAGACAAGATTCACTGAAATGTAGGATGAGAGCGGAGTCCTCTCTCCGTTGGCATGGCCTCTCTTCTTGTGGAACTGAATTATTGAGAAAACTAACAAGCCAATTCTTCTTATCCGTGGAGATTTCGAACGTGCCGTTAATGGGGAGCCAGGGTCTCATGAAAGGGGTGGACCTCAAGTTTCAGGGCTGAGTGTCCTTTCCCCTGGAACAACTGGGAAACGAAGGCTGCACTTTGCAGTCTGCAAAGCACACGTTCCTGTGTCAGAAATTTGAGCAGAGCTGGCTTGTTTGCAGTGGAGGTTCCACTGGGGGTTGGATCAGATCATGCTTAGGTAAACACTGGAAAGAGGAGGTAGGTGGCTCAGCTGGATTTTGCAATGCCCTAAGTTAACCAAAAAAAAAAAAAAAAAAAAACCAAACCCCCAAAATGCTGCTAAAACAACCCACCCCCAAAATCCTTGGTGAGATCCTGGTTTTGTTTTTCAGATTTCAGATACCCATAACAACTTGTTAAGATCTTGGCCTCCTGACAAGTTCCTCTGTTGAGCTTTGAGGCCTGACAGCCTGTCTCCAGGGAACCCTAGCCTGGGAGAGGTGAGGCTGGGTTTTATAGGCCTGGACCCTCCAGCTCCAACCTGGTCCGGGTTTCTCAATGGGAAAGGATTTGCTCTGCCTCTCCCAGGTTCCAGTCAGAGGCCCTGGCCCCAGGAACGGTATTTCTGGTCAGTAACGTCTTCCAGCTGCGTGGCGAGTGCGCATTCCAGCATCATGCAGCAGAGTCTTTTCCCCCCATTGCCTCGTGTTCTCCCTGCATTAACTTGGCCTGCTCTCCCACTTCTCTGCAGATGGCCTCGCCTCCTCCAGGGTCCGCCTGTACTTCTTCATCTCCAACGAAGGCAACCAGAACCTGTTTGTGGTACAGGCCAGCCTGTGGCTTTACCTAAAGCTGCTGCCTTACGTCCTGGAGAAGGGCAGCCGGCGGAAGGTGCGGGTCAAGGTGTACTTCCAGGAGCAGGGCCACGGTGACCGGTGGAACGTGGTGGAGAAGCGGGTGGACCTCAAGCGCAGCGGCTGGCACACCTTCCCGCTCACCGAGGCCATCCAGGCCTTGTTCGAGCGCGGCGAGCGGCGACTGAGCCTGGATGTGCAGTGCGATGGCTGCCAGGAGCTGGCCGTGGTGCCCGTGTTCGTGGACCCCGGCGAGGAGTCGCACCGGCCCTTTGTGGTCGTGCAAGCACGCCTGGGCGACAGCAGGCATCGCATTCGCAAGCGGGGCCTGGAGTGCGATGGCAGGACCAACCTCTGTTGCAGGCAACAGTTCTTCATCGACTTCCGCCTCATTGGCTGGAACGACTGGATCATCGCGCCCACCGGCTACTACGGGAACTACTGTGAGGGCAGCTGCCCAGCCTACCTGGCGGGGGTCCCTGGCTCTGCCTCCTCCTTCCATACGGCCGTGGTGAATCAGTACCGCATGCGGGGTCTGAATCCGGGCACGGTGAACTCCTGCTGCATCCCCACCAAGCTGAGCACCATGTCCATGCTCTACTTCGACGACGAGTACAACATCGTCAAGCGGGACGTGCCCAACATGATCGTGGAGGAGTGCGGCTGCGCCTGATGGCGGCAGCGCGTTGGCGGTGGGACTCGGGGCTGGCCCTGGTCGGGCTTCCTCCGGTCCCTGCGGGAATGGGGTGCATGAAGGTGGAGTCCAGTTGTGCCATTGGGCTGCCTGGGAGGTGCCAGGGGCAGGCCTGAGAGAGTTTCCTACTTCTTCATCAAGCAATCAGTCAAAACCAGAGGGAGAACCCTCCACGGATACGAAAGACTTTAAAATGCACACGTAGACACGCACAGCCAAACGCATCCTGCCACCCACACAGCAGCCTCCAGGATACCAGCAAATGGATGCGGTGACAAATGGCAGCTTAGCTACAAACGCCTGTCAGTCGGAGAGAATGGGGTGAGCAGCCACCATTCCCACCAGCTGGCCGGGCCACTCTGAATCGCGCCTTCCGAGCACACATAAAAGCACAAAGACAGAGACAGAGAGAGAGCCAGCACGGGAGCCCCGGAGTGGAGAAGCAGATGCGGGGGTGGGGAACGTGTGGGCAGGCGGAGGGCTGTGTGTCCCCCTTTGCTTGTGCAAGGCCCGCCATGCCCCAGCATCTCTTGGCTCCCACGTGTCGCCTTCCTCCCCCGCCTGGGATCCTTGCTGCTGTGGGACCAGGGCAGCCTGTCCTTTCCCGCCCTTGGAGAGGGAAGGAGACCCCAAAAGGACATCACCTGCCAGAGACCAGAGACCACAGAGCAGTGGCAATGACTGTTTGACTGTTGCTTGGGTCCCTGGTGTGACTTCTGTTTGTACTGTTGTCGTTCGGGTCCGTGGTGTGGACTTCTCCATGTGTTTGTTTTGGGGGTGGGGAGGGAGGGAGAGAAGGGTCGTTAATTTGATGCTTTAACTGATCACTAGCAGTTGAATGATCATTCATTCCAGTTGTATCATTGAAAAGGAACTTTTCTACCAGGTGTGACCTTTTAAGTTAAAATCTGAATTGTTCTAAGTGGAAAGAAAAAAGTTGTAATTTGTGCCCTTCATGGGGATAGTCCTCTAGGACTGATTTGTGGGGAGGGGGGGAGAAAATGACTCTTTCCAAGGGGATGAGCTCCGAGGAGGAGGAAATAATGGGGTGGAGGCATTCTGGAAATGCTTAGGGGAGGGGAGGCGGTGGGGTTGCCCCCCTCAGCAGGGGGTGAGGGAGAGGAGCAGTTGAACTGGTCTTGGGGAAATAGGGGAGGATTTCAGCTGCTTTGCAGAAGTGGCCCACGCGGGCCCCAGCCACCAGGGCCGGCCACGGACGTGGCCCCCCGCCTGCTCGCCCGCCTGCCCGCCCCTCCTAGCACTTGCAGACCTGCCTGAACGCACATGATATAGCACTTGCCCATCCACGTGTGTCCAGAAGTGGCCCTTGGCAGAGCAGTGAACTTGCTCACCCCTAGATGTCTGAGCGCCACGTGAACTATGCAATTTAAAGGGTTGACCTACACTAGACGAAACTGGACTCGTACGACTCTTTTTATATTTTTTATACTTGAAATGAAATCCTTTGCTTCTTTTTTAAGCGAATGATTGCTTTTAATGTTTGCACTGATTTAGTTGCATGATTAGTCAGAAACTGCCATTTGAAAAAAAGAAGTTATTTTTATAGCAGCAAAAAAAAATACAGTTAAATGTATTATACATAATTTTGGAACCAAAGAGGCCAAGAGATCAGTTTTAATTTTTATTAGATGGTGAGGCCATCTTATATGAGGTAGACGTTCTGAACAATCCCTTGAGTGGCCTGCCAACGTTTCAGGGTATAAATGGCTTTTGTTTATTCAGTTTGATGTGTCTTTTCTATCCTTACACACCCAGAAGGTAGAGTAAAAAAGACGATGGTAGAATGCAGGTGTGTATCCTTAAATCCTCATCTTTATGTTTATTTAATAAAGCTCCCCTTAGGTTCTGTTTCATAATAATTTAAAACCAAACAATTTTCCCATAGACTTGCTGTTAAAGTATTTTACATTTGTGTACAGTTTAAGAAAATAAAAGATTGAGTGCCACGGGCTTCCTGCTTGTGTGATGTCTGGGGTGGGGGCTTGGGGCTGGAGGTGGCCTCTGGGAAGAGGGCGGGTCCAGGTGTCCAGTTCTGATGCTGGTTGCTTTCATGTTCACCCCGGGCGCTCTGCGTCCTTACCACAAGCTCAGTGGCAGGAAGAGAGTCGAGGAAAAATGGCAGAAGATCAAAATGAAGGACAATGAGCAAATTCATGAATTACACATGTGTTTACCCTTCTAGTCCCCAGACTCATTATGTTTCACCAAGGCTGCATTTATTACCATTTGAAAGTACCGGTTAAGCCCCCATTCGTGGGATGAAATGAAAACCTGGGCGGTTGAAGCCCACCTGACCCCATGCCCATCTCCAGGTACATACAGACACAGCTATCAGCAGAAGAGGTTAATATGTTGGGGTGGAAGCCAGATGTAAGGCCATGAGGATGCTGATTATCCTTTCCTGTGGGATGTTAACTGGTGGTAGGTGGTGGTGGTGTTAGCAACGACAGTTGTCCAACCACAGCTGCAGGTAAGACTGGAGATGCCCACCCAGTGCCATTATCATGCAGCCTTTAGATCACGCCTTTGTGGGAAATGATTTCATCTTCGTTTCCCAGAGTTTGGAGTCTGAGGCTCAGAGAAGTTCAGGGCTTACCTGAGATCACACAGCCAGGATAGGTACCCTGGGCACTTGAGCCCAGGTGCCACGGCTGGTCCACCTGTTCCCCTGGGGGGCACTGCAACACGAAGGCCTTGCCTTCATCTGAGCCCCTACAGGGCCACTGGGGCTGCAACTTGGTTTTGGGGTCATGTGTGGTCTTCCCAGAAAATCTCAGGACATTTAAACAAGTGGGACCTTAGGGATCATCAAACCCCATTAAGACAACCATTGGGAAACTGAGGGAGGCTCTGGGCAGCTGGAAGGGTCTATCGCAATTCACATAGCTAGCTGGTGGCAGGGGCAGCCTCTGGCCTGTGTCTTTTCCCATTCTTTGCCTGTCCAGGAGAGCTACCACCTGCCAGGCTTCCATCTGAGGGGAGGATTTGTTAACCGGTGAAGTCTTGGTAGAAAAATTAATGATGGCAAAGAAGACACTTTCATAAAGACAGGCCTGACCTGGGCATTTGGGGGTGGGGGGTTACGACTGAGTGGTCCCAGCCCTGCGGTGGGCTAAGCCCTCAAGCCAGCCCCTGCCTCAGCACAGAAATTTTTGCTGGCAGCCTTCAAGAAGGCCGGTGTGAGAGTCACCAGGGCGCTTCTGCTGGCTGGATATTGAGCACCTGTAGGCACCCTCCTGGGGCAGAGCATCACACGCTGGTCCATGAGGCCTGTGCTAGCTTCAGGAAGGGCTTGAGACTACGAGGTCAGGAGGCCAGTGGCTGGCAGTCATGGTCCCTGTATGGCACCCTGCTGCCCTGTGCTGGCCTGTGGCCCAGTGGGGTCAAACTCCCCTCCCCAGGGCAATGGTGGTTGTCACCTATTCTCTGGGCCTGCAGTGGGGGGCTCCTGGCGCATCCAGGGCTGGGTATGGCAGGGAGAGGGACCCCCTGTGCAGACAGTAGAGGTGCAGTGAGGCAGGCAGGCATGCCTGTCCTGGGGCTGGGAGCCATGCAGCTTCCTTCCTGTGCTGCTGCGGTCATTGGCTTCCTTGTTTTTCCTTTGCTCATTCAGTCCCCAGTCCTTTTCTTCCAATTGTTTTTTTTCCCATTCGCTCCCCTTATCTTCCCAGTGGGCCTGGCCTAGGGTCCCACCTCTCCCCGGAGGCACCCCTGGAGCCCCGCCAATCCAGGCCCAGAGGCCAGGCCTCCCACACTGCCCACCAGGTCCAGTGCCTCTGACCCAGACCCCTCCTGCTCTCCTTCCCTCTGCCCCTCCCTTCCTTCTTGGGCTACAGGCCGGTAGCCTCTCACAGGACCAGTGGGTCAGGCCGGGCCAGCCGGAGCCAGAGGCTGCCGGCCCCACCCGCCTCTGATGTTTCCACCGCGCTGGATTTGTCCTTGTCTGACCTTCCTCAGAGACTCAGTGGAGTCTAAGGCTGGGGTGTGGCAGGAGAGGGGACCCTCCCGTGTGCAGACACTGCCATGCTCACTGCCTGTGGCTTTCCCCCATTCCCCAGATTCAGGATCCAGTAAGCCAAGGCTCCAGGAGTGTCCTGTGTCTGCTTCCCCCCCCCAGCTCTCTCAGGAGTGATACCATTGTGCCTGGTGCAGGCGCAGAGGGTCCCTACCACAGGGAGAGCCCCTTCCAGGCAGGGGCCGGGACGAGGGACTAGGACAGCTCTTGCACTTTGGCTGGGCCCCCGACCCACCTGGAACTCAGGCCGGCCCAGCATCATGCCTTCTGCAAAGCCCTGTGGGAGCTCTTGCTGAGGACCCCCCCAAGGGGCCTGGCAGGCTACCTGCCTTGGAGAGTCTGGCAGCTTCCTACGCCTCCTGTGAGGGCAGGAAGGGGGCGGGGAGGCCACAGGTTGCCGCCAAGCTTGGGAGACTGGTGGGCTGAAGAAAGTATGCCTTTGCAAGCAAAGAAGCAGAAACAAAACCCCCTTCCAGTGGGCAGAGGCCAGGGGAGCAACCCTAGCCCAGTTACCAGGCTTTCAATGGGATGTTGTGAGCAAATGACAAATTACCTACGAGCTTTGCAAGAAGGGCTGGGCCTGCCATATGTGAGGCCTGGGGCAGGAGTGGGGTGGGTGTGGCAGGCTCTGGGAGCCCCTGGGCGACATGAGGGCTATGGGTGAGCAGTCAGTGGTGTTCTTGGCTGCCTGGGGGGTGGGGATGGCTATTAGTGGGAGTGGATGGGGAACTGAGGGTGAGGTTGAGTGACGGGCCGCTTTGTGATTGTAGGTTTGACTTTCTGGATGCTGACCTGTGGGGAGTGTGAGACTGTGACTGTGGCCTTGTGTGATTGGCTGTGTGTGGGTCTGGGTGTGTGGTTGGCCGTCTCTGAGGTTGTGAAGGTGAGCGGGCATGTGTGTGGTTGAGTGTGAGACCACGTGGGTTTGCGACTGTGATTGTGGGGTGTGGTTGCATGGTTGGCTGTGTGTATTTCTGGTCATTTTGATTTTCTTCCTCATCGAGAGGTGATGCGCCAGACTGGTTATATACTTTGTGATTGGGGTAGTTATATTTTAAAATCTGGGCAATTGCTGGCAACCCCCGCTGCAGTTAGACTCTATGATCATCCTCTTGCCAGGCAGGTGCTGACGGCTGGACTTAGGAGGCAGGGGTTGTAGGCACCGTTTCTGTGGTCTCTGTGTTTGCCCTCAGT